TCCACCGGCCCAAAGGACTCACGTCAAATGAAGAGGAATGGGAAGGAAAAGTTGGGAAACGAGCTGTTAGTGGTGTTGAAAATGTTAGGTGGATCAAATAGTTTGATTTTTAGCCTGTTTGAGTCAAGTTTTGATCGGTAATTCCATAAAATATCAACATAGTTTTATTCGATAAATCTAACAAGTCGCTGGAGCGATTCTTGTGAGAAAACAAAAAAATTTCTCACAAAAAATGTACTATGCAATTTCCTACTTTTTGCACCGTGCATTAGGTTCTTTTTGGGTGTCGCTTGTACTCTGGCTTTTTCTGCACAGTGCAACCGCCAAAAACCACTCCAGCGACTTTAGGAACAGACTAGTAGAACAAAAAGCCTGCTTGAAGAGTTACATTCGGTCCCATGTGCGACGCTAAGATTTTCTTTAAATTTTGCACATATTTTTTGAATAGGCAAGATATGAATTACTGAAAATTTTAGCTCGCGCTTTTCTGCCGCAACCGTGATGCTCATCGAGTTCTGTAGCTGAGAGTGTACGCTAAATGCTGAGGGCGGTCAGAGGGAAAAATACTTTTTGGCCATATCTTTGCTTGTTTTGTGAAGAAAAAATTAATTTTTTTGTGGAGAAATTACAACCTACTGTAGAAATTGGAATGCAACTTTTTATGCCAAAGTTTGCAAAAAGGCGGAATATTTTTGCCAATTTTCATCTAAAAACCTTGGTCTTTTCTGCAAAGCGCGATCTAGAAGTTTCGCATATGACTTCAAAAAAATCAGTCGCGATTTGTGCCAAAATTCATCAAAAGTTAAGCGTCGCACTTGTGCTTCCTACTAACAGGGGAAGTACTCCAAGTGCGACGCTCAGATTTTCTTTAAATTTGGCACACACGTCGGGTATGGACTAAATATCAATTCCTGAAAGTTTTAGCTCGCGCTTTGCGGGCGCCGCCGAGATATCGAACGATTTTTGCCGCCGAGAGAGCACGCTACACGGGGAGAGCGGTCAGAGAGAAAAGCGCGTTTTCGCCATAACTTTGGCAGTTTCGAGCGGAAAAATTTGATTTTTTGTGGAAAAATTTTCCTTTACTGTTGAAATAGGCATGAAACTTTTCGATCCGAAATTCGGCAAAAAGTCCAAAATTTTGGCCGACTTTTGATCTAAAAATCTGGGCTGTTTCTGCAAAGCGCGAGCTAGAATTCTCGCATATATCTTAGAAAAAATTGTTCTAAGTTTGTGCCCAGTTTCATCAAAGTCTGAGCGTCGCACTTGGAGTACTTCCCCTGTAAGATTAAGTCCAAAAAAATGATGACTAAACAAAAGATACTTTTTCAAAAGTTGCCAAACCCCCTCTCTAATCCCCTTCAACTCATTCCATTAATATCAATAACTCTTTTCTTTGTAAGTGCAAGTAGCTTGACTCATCTTTTTTCTCGTCTACCTTCTTCCGCCCGACCCGTACGCCCATGCACCCGCTGCTTTACAGTAAAACCCATAAATATTAATTCGGTTTTTACAAACGCGTGTTCAACGCCGGCAATTTGTTAAGCACGGATCGGGCGCTTTGAAATCGACGTTGAATTGAGCCCGCTGACAAATGGTTGCGCCAAAAAAAGTAGGGGAAGAAAAGAGTTGAGAGAAGCAAAGTTTTGCGAATTTTTCAGGGAATTTTTGAGCACCTTGAGTCATCGATGAAGTAGGAATATCCCTTTTTGACTTGTTAAATTCGAAATATAGAGATTACGGTAGGAAATTGAGTGGGGTGATGGAAGTCTGCTTACCACATACAGACAGTTTCTTGGCCACATTCGTTTCATATAGTATGCAAAAAAACTTAAAAATTTAAAAGGCGATTTAAACCTGGCCTGCAGATCTTCGCCGTTTAGCGCCTTGCCTCACCAGACCACATAATAACAAAATAATAACAATAACGTGGCTAATTCAAGATGCCAAGCTCATCGTTCGCAGAGAGAACGAGATTTTAGGGTGAAAGGATGGCCACAAAATCTCATTCTTTCTCGGTTGTTGGCGAAAAGCTGTGATTGGCGCAGGTCTCAACGGAATCAAAGTGGTTATTCTTCATGTGCAACAAAATATTAAAGTAATCATGTCTCAACTAACGGTGGGAATCGTGCATGGCCTGAGGAAATTGGAAAAGGCCCAGAGCTGGCCTGACGAATTTGACCAGCAGCGAAAATTGTCTTACAGGGGAAGTACTCCAAGTGCGACGCTCAGATTTTCGTTAAATTTTGCCGACACGTCGGGTATGGACTAAATATCAATTCCTGAAAGTTTTAGCTCGCGCTTTGCCGACGCCACCGAGATATCGAACGATTTTTGCCGCCGAGAGAGCACGCTAAACGTGGAGAGCGGTCAGAGACAAAACACTTTTTTGGCCATATCTTTGGCAGTTTCGAGCGAAAAAATTAGATTTTTTGTAGAAACATTATACTTTACGGTAGAAATAGGCATGAAACTTTTCGTGCCGAAATTCGGCAAAAAGTCCTGAATTTTGGCCGACTTTCGATCTAAAAATCTCGATTGTTTCTGCAAAGCGCGAGCTAGGATTCTCACATATATCTTAGAAAAAATAATTCTAAATTTGTGCCAAGTTTCATCATAATCTGAGCGTCGCACTTGGAGTACTTCCCCTGTTAGTCCGGCAGGATTGCCAATCACAGTGTGTTGTCCAGAGGCTCAGTAAACAACGATTTCTATGCCAAATTACATTTTGTCAATTTTTTCATTTCTATCGCCTACAGTAATCCCAAGCCCAAAAAACCAAAGTCATTATTCGGTCGAAATTACCCCACTCAAATTTACCCCCTAAACATTGCAACATCTCCCTCTTCCATTACTACCTCATAAATGTGGTGGTTATGGCGTCCCCATAACCCCGAACCCAGCCACTTTTACGATACCACTCCAATAAAAAAAAGATAGCACAAATTGGATTCCCGTCCCATGCCTCTGAATCACAAGCGCCTTCTGATTCGCCGCCTCAGGGCCCTTTGCGGCACGCTTCCCTTTGACAAAAAACCCGCCCGATTCCCGTGCGATGCAACGATTGATAGAGGGCGGGCTGATAGGAATGTCGTAGACAGGGGGAAGCGATCGAGAAGTTCGTTTCGACATTGATAATACGTTATATAAAGTATGCAAGTGGTCGGAAAGGAAGTATGAAGTAATGGGATGAAAATGGAACGGGGGGAATTGGATCGGAAGAAGTGATTTTTTTGGGAATTTGTGTTGAAATTCGCTGCAAAAAATCACATTTTTTTGGATAAAAAGTTTAGTTCCTGTTTCTACCATAAAGCCAATGCTTTAATAAAAGATCACTCCTCATAAGTAAAATCAGCAAGGATGTGGCCAAAACACATTTTTCTCTCTCCACACTCCACGTACTCTCTCAGCGGTAAATATTGTTGAATATCTCGGCAGCGCCTGCAAAACGCGAGCTAAAATTTTTAGGAATTGATATGTGGCCTATGTACGAAATGTACGCCAAATTCAAAGAAAATCTAGGACTTCCCTCGTAAATATGAATGAATGGTAAAATTATGAGACTGCAAGGACGCAAATTGATCTTTAGTAAGCAAATCGTAAAGAATTTAACCTTTTTTCATAGCCATCCTCTTATCCAAAGTGTGAACGAAGATATTCAGGGACTGCTTAGAAGCCTAGAGCTATGAAGCTTATAAAGTTTGAGAAATACTGAAAATTTCAAATGTGGTAATTTTTTATAAACCAAAGAAGTGCAAAAAGGGGAAGTTCTGCGCGACCACTGAACGAGATCTCCATATAAAGGTGGTCATATAAGAATTAAAATTTTTTTTTCCCAAATCGCGATTTTCGGTGCACAAAAAAGTGGACGCCCAAATCGAAAAACTGGCGTCGACTTATTTTTTTCTCGGCACCGAATTCTGAAATCCGGTCAATTTTTTCAAGTTTTTTCGAAATCAGTGCACAAAGTCTTAAGTCTGCACCGAAAGCTTAAATGCTTAAGTCAGCACCGGCATTTCGGAATTCGGTGCTGAAAAAATTAAGCCGACGCCAATTTTTCGATTTGGGCGTCGACTTTTTTGTGCACCGAAACTCGCGATTTGGGAAAACAAAATTTTTAATTCTTATATGAACACCTTTATATAAAGAACTATTTCAGGGTTTTAGAGATTTCAAGAGTAATTGCTATAACAAAACGAGCCTCTGAACAACAAACCTCCTCTATAACAAATACATTCTTTTTTACCTTACCTTTCATTGTGCAGAAGTTTGACATTAATTTTCCAAGGTAAAAGTAATCCCTAATCCCCTCTAAGAACCTTTAAAATAACCTTAGAAACCTCAATGATCAAAATGTCATTTCAATGACGCCATGATACCGCCAAACCCCCCTCTCGCAAACCCTTGATTTCGCGCAAAACAAGCGGCTTGTAACACTCGCTTTGCGGTCGAAAGCAAAAAGTCCTCAACCCGATTCCTTTTGAGTTGCGGCCACAAAGCGCCATTTATCACGGCGCCCGGCTTATTTTCAAGCCGTCAGATTTGCGCTCCGAAAATAGAAGCGTCTTCGGAGGGCAACTTGGGCGGGGAGGGCGTGAAATATTGCCCATGAACTTTCGGCGCGGTTACATTTGCGGATGGGGAATGTAAAGTCGGTTTTTCGGAGTAAAGATTGGAAATGTAAAAAAGGGTTGGCGATAGGGAAGGACTGGAAAAAAAATCTTGAATAGCTAAGATACGAAATGCGACAGAGACGAATGATACATGGTTCTAGGGCAAGTCTGACACGGTGATTCCGGTGAGAACATCAAAATCCAGAAAATCGGTCATCTTGATAGCAAAAAGCGATAAATTTTGAAAAATTCCAGTTTTTTTAAAAATTATTCTTTTCAAATTTCGATTTATTACATATTTTTTAAATAAAATTTTCAAAAAATTTACAAATTTAAGGCTACAGCTACATAAAAATTAAATTAATTAATTCTTCATAAATAATATCTCAATTATTTTGCCCTCCAAGTTATCCTCACTGGGACGGTCAGCAAATAGCCGTGGTCATAGATGTATATCCTCTTGTCGAACGGATTGTACGACATCATGTTGGCATTCCGATACAGATTGACCCAATGGATGTTGGGCTGTTGATATCTTTCGCGGTAAAAATCATAAGCAATCGAGATTTCGGACTTCAAATCGCTTGAACTTTGAACCTGAAAAAATTTGATTTTTAAGATTTTGGGAAAGATTTTTTTGAGGAAAAATCGTAAAAAAGTAAAAAATTTGTTGCCAAAAAAAGATTCAAAAAATATCAAAAAAAAATTTTAAAAATAAAAAATATCGAAATTTTTTCTGCGAAAAATCAAAGCTGTTTTGGTCTTTTAGAAAATTTTTATATGATCAACTTACCACGTATAAAACGCCACAGACGACGAATCCATTGGCCATATCGGTATGATTGATCATAGTCAAGTTGAAGGTCTCATAGACGGTCAGATTGTTGATGTCCATTTTCGTGACCGCCACAAAGTCCTCATCTTCGTAGTGGAACATTACCCACAAGGCGTTTTCGTCAACAGCCATGTCAAAGTAGTTCATGGAGTGGTTGAAGAGGTACTAAAAACGGTTTAATTTGGAAAGGGAGTCTTTTTTTTTAAAAATGGGACTGTATTCGCCTTGCAGGTGCAGCTATTGGACCGTCGATCCCGAGCAGAGACTACTCACGGTAGTATAAAATATGGAAAATCGCCTTTTTACACAAGGGAGGGTTACAGGTGCGACGCTCAGATTTTTCTTTAAATTTTGCACACAGGCCGGGTACAGGCCGCGCACAAATTCCTGAAAATTTCAGCTCGTGCTTTTCCATGCGCAGCCGATATATTCAACGATCTTAGCGGCCCAGAGAGTACGAAAAACATGGAGAATGGAAAAAGAGAAAGAAATTTTTTTTAGTGAATTCTTGCAGCGAAGAGCAAGTTCTGATGCAAAGAAAATATTTTTGACCATTGCGGTACGGTATACAGAAGCAGCCTCACATAAGTCTGTCGGGAAAATAATGAGCACTCTGTTGCATCGCAAATCGCATCGCCGCCGAGAAAATGAATTGTGTCGCGGTAAAATCAAATTGCCTTTCACTTCAGGACGCTATATGTAGGTGCAACTTTTTATTTACTTTGAAAAGCAAGTCGTATTTTACCCCTTTCTACTCACGTTTTCTCCCTTATGCGCGGCCTTGTTGTGAACAATGACCTCTTCATAATTCTGTGTACCCAGCTCGTACTTGGCGATCTTGGGTGTTCCGGCTCGATGATAATAAAAGGAGCCATTGAAGAAGACATTGTTAGTGCCTTTGAAGAGATGAGGCAGTTTGTATCTAAGCAATGATAATACAAGTTTTGGCGCCTACTTTTTGAGTACGTTCTGTCTTCGCATTTCGGCTTCGTTCCGGAACTCGTAAAGAGCATCGCCTTCGAAGTGGTTGGTCAGCCAGCGCTTCTGAGAGTCCTGGAAAGATTTTTTTTTTTGAATTTTACAGTAGAAGAGACACATAATTTGACAGCAAACGGTAATTTTTGCCCGCAGTAAAGCTTCTGTAAAATGAATTGGACTATCAGTCTGTCGAGAAAATAATGAGCGCTCTGTCGCATCGAAAATCGCATCGCCGACAATATGAACTGTCGCGGCAAAATCAAATTAATTTTCACTTTATTGCGCTGCAACGTTGCAATGCATAGCGCAGAGACATTGTGTTCATTATTAAAAAAAAGATGGACCAAAAATTATTGACGTGTTCGTACAGTGCATCGCCGCGCAAACACCACAACTTTCGCAACTTTCGAGCAGCGCGAAGTTCATTCTGTTGAACGGGGTAAAAAATGTTATCTCGCGCGAAAAAACTGGAGAGTGATGTCGCCGTTTCGCACCTACCTAAATCTTTTCGCAATGCCGACAGCGACGAAATCTCATTGTCGCAAAAAACTGATGCTTTTGATCTCGTAAATTTTTCGTTGTCGACTGATTTCTTGGTATACGAGTTAGTCGCACATTGAGCTAGGCTTTAAAGCCGCAATCTTGACTTGTCTTACCTCTCCGGTCTTCGGATACGCATCCCTCATCCATGAGCCATAGAAGGTGTTCGCATGCGCGTGAAAGACTGGCTTGCCAACTCCTTGCAGGAAGCAATCTGAAAACAAATCAATTGGCCATGGCTAAGTTGTATTTACTACATTCCCTCGTTAATTAAAACTTACGAGCCGTTGCGCCTTGAATATACGCCGTCTCGGTGCTTGTTGCCAGATCCATTTGGTCGTGGTAGGTGGTAAAGTTGGCCATGCAAACCCTGAGGCACGCGTCTGATTCTGTTTCGTTTTCTAGCATCTAAATTTGACATGACATTTTTTACTATCAGCGCGCTTACGCTACGTTGTCAGCAAAGGTGATTGTATCGCTTAAAAAAACTTACGTATTCAACAAAGCTCGGCAACATTTTTTCCACTCCTTTGGGGCCTCCTTCTCCATCCATGGTGATTCTGCTGGGGCATTTCATTTCTTCGGTCTGAAATATGCAGTCTTTGAATAATCACAGTATGGGTCGCATTTTGTTCTAGGAAAAGCGAAAATCGACTGTTTGGTATCATTCAGAAAATAAATTGTGTCGCGACCAAATCAAATCGTTTTTTGATCCAGAAATGCGGTAAGCGCAGTCTCTATGAAGTGGGCTTCCCCTACAAATCACTATGCTTACCTTCGGACACGACTTCTCACTCATCACATAGTTCTCAGTTACAGGGCAGTCAACACAAACTGCCTCCGACCCGGCCATTCCGGGAGGTCCGATTGGTCCTGGAGGCCCGGGAAGCCCTTGAATTCCAGGCCTTCCAATTGGCCCTGCTTGGCCCGGCGGGCCTACTGGCCCTGGATCACCCGGAGGTCCCGGAGGCCCTCTTTCACTGCCTTTTTCATCAGTGCAATACTTATGGACTTCTAGGCATTTTTCGAGCAGATCGTCCATCTGAAAGGAAATGGATGGCATGTGGAATATATTGATGTGTATTACAAAAACCGTCTGTTTGATATGAATATCACAAAGAAAAATAAATACCTAGTGAAATGGTTTCTACAAGAAACGGTTCAACTTTCCAAAATTACTATTCAATATTACCCAAAACATCAATTATATCATCCATGACCTAGTGTAATATATTAGTGTGTGTCACAGAGAATTTCGTCTTTATATGGATATACTATGTTAAGAAAAGGATCTAATAAGGTTCGTTTCACAACCAATGGTTCAAATTCCCTTAATTGAGGCTCGCTATTCGCTCAAAACACCCATTATATTATCTATGGCCAAGTGTAATATATTGATGTGTATTACAAAAACCGCTGGTTTTATGTGGATATACCAAATTGAAGTAAGCGCCTAGTGAGTTTTGTTTCACAAGAAATAGTTCAGCTTCCCAGAATTACAGATCAATTTTACCCAAAACATCAATTATATTACCCTTGACCCACCTGAATCTTGCTCAACGAATGGACCCACAAGTCCTTGTTTTTCTTGTCCTCACTACTGGTCATGTTGATGACAGTCTCCTTGAAGCCTCGTTTAACTCTTTGCCCATCGATTGGACAGTTCTCCAAGCACTCATCAGTCCTGCGTTTCAGATCAACCCAAGCCAAGGCGGTGAGTAAAAATAAAAGTGCTTGGCTGGCGGTCAATCGCTTCCATGGAACCTCCGCCTTTAGAATTTGATTGTCAGTTTGCGCCATTTAGATCAATAGTGAGAGGTAGCGAATAAATGAGGGAAAAGGAGTAAGTTAGCAATCCATTTTATTGAAAAAACGAGAAACGTTTTCCTTCCGGCGAATATGGTGATAATTTGTTTATTTTTGGCTTTTCACAAACGTTGAAACGATTTTTTTATTTGAAATCGCTGGAAAAGCTGAGGGAAGTGGAAATTCGATCCTCTCCGGAAAGGCTCTTCATTTGGCTTTTCGTCCAATAATCTATTGGAAAAGTCAACAGGGGAAGTGCTCCAAGTGCGACGTTCAGACTTCGACGAAAGCTGGCATAAGTTATCATCTATATTTTTTAAATTCCTAGCTCGCAATTTGCGGAAACGACCGAGATTTTTATACCGAAAGTTGGTGACAATTTTGACACTTTTTTTGCGAATTTTGGCATGAAAAGCCATACATATTTCCACCGTAAAGGGGGGTAGTGTTTCAGCAAAAAATTGATTTTTTAACTGGGGCAAAGACACGGCCAAACTGGGGCAAAAGCACGGCGAAAAGGTGTTTTTCTCTCCGCGTTTTACGTACTCTCTCGGCCGCAAAGATCGTTGAATATCTCGGCTCTCCCTGCAAAGCATGAGCTAAAGCTTTCAGGAATTGATATATAGCACATGACCAATATATGTTGAAAAAAATAAAAGAAAATCCGAGCGTCAAACTCAGGGTATCAGTCTGCCGGTTTGCACAGTGCAAATAGTTTTTTTGTGGTTTGCACCGTGCAAGAAGGGAAAAATGTACTCTTTTGTACTCTGCGTTGGAGAAAATGTCGCAGCGGAGATCGCGTCGCTGAATTCAAAAGCAAATTGGCTTTCCTCCGACACAATTCATTTTCCCGGCGGCGGTGCGATTTTCACTGCGACAGGCTGCTCATTATTTTCCCGACAAACTGATTCTTCCCTTATAATTTTCATCAAGTTAACTGCGCTTCCCCTGTTCGTCCTTTCAACGGCTTGTTACACCTTTTACTCATCAAATTACCCCTGTTTACCAATACCTTTTCCACGAGCGCAAGCGTTTCATTTCATTACTTCCTTGCACTTTCCCATCTCTTCTTGAAGGTCAGAGAGAAAAAAAACTTTCAATTATTTTGCCATCTTGTTTCATTGATTGTATGATCACGGGAGTTGCAGTTGCGATTATTAATCAGCCCGTGCTGTAAACAACTCCAGAAAAGTTTAAAGTATACATGGAAATAAACGGAAAAGTTACGTGCATTCGAAGTATTCACTTATCACAACAATATAAACACCTTTTCCGGGTTAAACTTGCTCATAAAAATTGCTGAAAGTGAAATTTTCCAACAGCAAATTGAAAGATGCTTTGTAAAAATTGGATTTTGGTGATATTCTCGCTTATATTACTAATATCAAGTGTAATATCGAAGTCTGCTGCTGAGCCAAAAGCCCAATTGTTTGGATCGTATGCTGACTCACTGACTTCGGGATCAATCTTATCGCCGTGGGGAGGAAACTTGGGTGGAAGTTACAGTAACCCATACGGAAGCTTCAGCAACTCATACAGCAGCGTCGGACGTTACAGTAATGCTGCTGGGTTCTTGTAGAGAATGGGTAAGTCAGGGAGGCAATAGTGGGCATAAAAATAAATTTTCTGTGTAAAGAATTGCAAAGAAGAGCGAAGTTGTTTGTTATAAAAAGATTTTGTACTTGGGAGGATAATTTTGGCCTAATATAGCATTTCTTAGTTGCTATGGGCAGCTTTGTGGAGCCATGTGAGCTTGAAGGGACCCTGAACCTTGTTTGGCCCCGTGGCGGGCCTCCGCGCGGCCCCAAATCGGCCCCCGTTGATTAAAATCATGAGCCCGAGGCAAAAATTGGGGTTGTCAATAAAACCAAAACACAGATCTAAGAGCCGATTAGGGGGTTTGGAGCACTTTAGGTAATGGTTGGTAAATCTTTTTTTTTAAAACTTATTGTTTATTGTTATAGTAATCAAACAATGCGTTACATCGCGTAAACATTTACCACCCCACCCCCGGGCCGAACTCTTCGGGGCCGGCCGCGATTTTTGGCCCGGCTCCAGGGCCATGTCTACGTACAACAATCCCAGTATATCAAAACCTGTCCACAGCGAGCAATTTCAACTATCTCGGGAATCATTGCTATAAAATAAAAAAATTCAACAAAGCCACAGCGCTTACGACTTGTAAGTGCGACAAATTTTTTCGCGACGTCGCGTAGTGCAAATATACGAAGACCTTCTGGCCCGCCTAGTATGACCGCAGCATCAGAAATTCAGCTGCCTTTTACACCATCGCCTGGCAATACCAATAGCAAAACAGATCGCAAAAAACTACTTGAATTTCCGTCACAAATTCTCGTTGATTTTTGACATGATTGCCCAACAAAATAGTTCCTAAGAGTTCACTTTCCGTGATTGTGAAATCGCACGCCAGCCAAGGTTTAAAGTACCGCGTCAAAAATGATCCGAGAGGGCCAGGGACTTCAAGTACAACGGTTGTTACAAAAATTTCATTATAAAATTCCTTTTCGGGTTCGGAATTCTCATTTTCTCCAAACTTTTTGCGTGATTCACTCTTGATTTTGCGCATCGACTTTCGCTTATTATGTCATGTTTAGTAGCGGCAACGCGCATCAACCCTTAACTTGGCTCCCAAGATTTAGCGGAAAAATTGTTTGACAAGGAAAGTACTTCTATGGGGTGTGGAATTACCGGTCGAGATATATATCGAAAAATTCGCAAAAATTTTCTGGTTCAGAATATATATAAATTAGCTGCCTAATTTTGGTCTGATGACATGTTTTTGTCCTCAGAAGTTTTCTCGCGACACCATGCAAGTGTCTTTTTGGCCGTGTTTTTAACAATAAAAAAATTTGGTTTTGTGCTAAACTAAATTCTGAGGCCTTGACAAGCCTTAAAATATCAAATTGGATTACAACTACACCTTAAAAGTAGTTCCAATGTAAAAAATGGGTTCTAGTGTGGCAAAAAGAATCGAACCCGTTTCCCCCGGAATTCCAAGCCAGCGCTCTAACCACTCGGCCACACCGCTCTCTCCGAAGGAAGAGACCGAGCGCGCTTTTGTTGCCGCAGATTTTTTTCCTCGAGAAAAACATTTATTGAAAAAACTCGCAGATAGACCAAAATTAGGCAGCTAATTTATATATATTCTGAATCAGAAAATTTTTGCGAATTTTTTGATATATATCTCGACCGGTAATTCCACACCCCATAGAAGTACTTTCCTTGTGAAATTTTGAGGTTTTACCGGCGAAGACAAGTATCAAAAATCGGATAGCTGGTTATGAAAAAGGTGAAAAGATCAACTTTGTCATAAAAATTTCACTTTTAGGGCATGGGAAATGTAGTGGTCAGAAAAATTTTTTCTTATGTCATGCCGCGAAAACAAAGTGGGGGAAGTTAAAAAAAGGGAAAATTATTTCGCTTTCCGCGAAATAAAAGTCGCGCGGCGCATCTTCCAAAATGAATTTTTGCGCGGTGCATGGGCCATTTTGAACCATCTTGCACCGCGCGGTGGTCTATCTCGCGCGACATACTTAAAAATGGCATACGTGCGGGGATACCTTGATTGTGCGTTGCAAAGGAAAAAATGCACGGTGCAGAACCGCTTAGGGGCAAAATGTCCGCAAGCTCTTGAAAAAGCGGAAAAAACAGTCTGTCGGGAAAATATTAAGCACTTTGTCGCATCTAAAATCGCATCGCTGCCGAAAAAAAGAATTGTGTCGCGACAAAATCAAAGAGCTTTTCGCTTCAGCGACACGATTGGCGCAGCGAAATTTCGCTCATTATTTTTCCGACACACTGGTAATCTCAAAAGTTGCTTTTTGCAGGCCATTTTTGGCCTTCAGGATAGAAGTTTCACCGTATTCGCGATGGTTTTTGACCAACACGACAACGGTTTTTGAGCGTTTCGGACTAGAATCACTAGAATCATCAACACTTGAAATTAAAACAAAAACAATGTTCTACCCGCCCCATAGTTTGTGGCGCGGATTCGTACGAAACAAACTACATATTCCTTCTTCTCCGTAAACATGAAGTTCTTTGCTCATCTTGCTGAAACTTGCCGAAACTTCTTGAACTCCGCACGCAACGTTCTGTGATGTCTCTGGTCACAGAATCAGACAGATCAGATGCTCCGGGCTTCTTTGGTCGGCCTTTAACGCCGGAGTTCAACTGTTATAAACTGCCTTGTGCGCCTTTGTTTCGCGCGGACGTCGATCACAAGACGCCCAGCGGCGTTTTGCAAGAGTTGAGTGCTCGTTGCTCTCGGCAACTCTTCCATGAAGAAATAATTGTAATCACGATTTTAAAAGTGTTTTCCGCGCTGACTACAAACCTTGTTGATTGCATAAAGACGCACACCTTCTCGCTTGCGGGCCTTCATTCGCGAAAAAGACGACGTTGTTGTGTACACCGTACGTTTTGAACTTCCCGAAATATTATATTTCCACCAACTATGCTTGTGATAAACAAGTTTATGCTATTCGTTCTACTATGCGTCGCTATTGCCTTCGCTAAGCCGGCGCCAGATCCGCAGATTGTCGCAGGCTTTGCGGACTCCATGACCTCCGGCACTATTGTCTCGCCGTGGGGTGGGAATCTGGGTGGATCGTGGACCAACCCCTACGGAAGCTTCACCAACTCCTACAGCGGCTATGGACGATACAGCAATGCTGCCGGCTTCTTGTAAATATTGTCAATGGAACAGTTGTTGCACTGTAATATATTGTATGTATATGTAAGTGGGCTTGTTTTTTGGACACTTTCCGAACCGTGTAGGCATATACTAGTCGGTCAGCAAAGTCGCTGATGTGATCTAGGCAACATGCACTATGCAAGAACAAAATTCATTCTAGTTTTCAACTAGTTGCTTTTCAATAGGCTTTTTTGGGCTGTCATCTGCGCCCTGTCGTTTCTTGGACAGAGCAAAGGCCAGAAATCAGCCGTCGACTTTCCGGAAGGGCTACTAGTTGTCACGGAAAGTGCGTAGAATTTCTCGGCCTTTTTTGCACCTCACCGTGCATGTTGCTCGACTCTATCCTTTTCGAAACATTATCCACTGTGCAATTTCTGTGAGGGCTTCGACTAAAAAAACAAGGGTTCCTCTGCACGGCCAACGACAGAAAGTCTACGCACTTTCTGGACAAGCAGTTGTAAAGAAAAGAAGACAGATGCAACCTGCTCTACTACGCCACTGCTTGCGCAGTGGCAACTTTTCAATTGCACGGTGCACAGTGTAAAAAGCATGCGATAAAAAGTCTACAAAATTTTTTTGATCTATAAATGTGCGTACAAGGACATCTTATGCCATAAAAAAATTCTGACCGGTTGCGATTCGTTGTAATTTTACTGTATTTTGGAACTGTTTTGTAACTTCTTGATCAAAGCTCACTGACCAAGGCACGGTGGTTTTTCTCCATTCCGCACGGTGCAAACCACAAAAAGAACCGGCTGGGTCAGACCGCGACAAAATGTCTATCAGTCTGTCGGGAAAATAACGTCGCGCCTCGGAATCGCCCATCATCGCTTTGCGACTGCAGGCCGCGGCCGGGGATTTGGTGCGCGATAGCGGCGAGGCGAGATATTTTGCTTCGACGACCCGCCGTTATTTTCCGGCAGAGTGATACGAGGCATTATGAAAATGCTTGCAATAACTGATTCGAAGCTCCCAGTCTGTCGGGAAAATAGTGGCAGGTGGAAATCGCCTATGCGACTGCTAGCCGAAGCTGGATTGCACACTTTTTTCGACGAGACGACAAATTTTCCCGACGAATTAATATAATATATGCAGCAATATCTTTCTACTGGCCTTTCCAGAAAGTTCGAAGACTTTGGCGCACACTTTATTTTGCCTATTTGTCTACAATGCGCAGACCAAAAGTCGACGCACTTTATGAGAAACTTGTAAACACCTTCACAGCTCTTCAAACATTCCACCGCGCAGTAAAATGCGTCCGTGGTATATCTAAAAAGTGCCCCATCTAGTGAGCGGTGGGAGATTATGAAAGAAGCCGTTGTAAAACCAATTTAAACTCCAACTTCAAGGCCACTTTCTCGCTTATATACACCGCTATGGGGTTGTACGAATCGCTCTCAGTTCATCAGCACCCGGAAGATTCGGTCGCTTCACTGGCATTAAACAGTGACAAGTTTAATGTCCAAATTCTTCGCGCAAAATCTTCCCCCTTGGGCTGTAACCCACTTCTTAAACACTTGAATTAAAGTTTGTTCGGGAAGCTTCTTGAGTTTTGCGACTCCGCACGTAGAATTGATATTCTCGAGTGCATGTTGTTTGTTACTTAATAAGGTGTTTGTTGTGTGGTTGGGAGTCAGTTTGGGGACCGTAGAGCAACTTGTATTTGTATGTGATGTTATAGAGGGAATGATAGGGAATAAGGTTATCTGCCCGTCGGGGAAATAATGAAGACAGTGTCGCTGCGCCTATCGTGTCGCTGAAGTGAAAAGCAGTTCGACTTTATCGCGGCACAATTTACTTTCTCGGCTCATTACCTTCCCGACAGACTGTGATAACATGAGAAGAGCGCAGATTTTTATGAAACTTGTCACAGATTTAGAATAATTTTTCAGAAAAATACGAAAGTTCTAGCGCATTGCCGAGAAGGAAAATTTCTTTAGGCCGAAAGTCGGCCAAAAGCGAACATTTTTTGCGAATTTCGGCACGAGAAGTTTTATGGCCTTTTCTACCGTAGAGCGAAGACCTCTGCAAAGAATAATTCTTCCCCACCTAAAACTGGCAAAGGTATGGCAAAAAAGTGCCCCTCTCTCTGACTGCTACCGCGTTTTGTGTAATTTTTCGGCCGCAAAGATCGTTTAATATCTCCTTTCTCCCTTGCAAAGTGAGACCAAGAATTTTCAGGAATTAATACATGGCTTATGCCTGAAATGTGTGCAAAATGTAACGAAATTTTTTGCACTGTTCACTTGTATCTGGATTTATTGCCGCACCGCACAGAATTTTTTCTATTTTCTCTTGCTTCAGCCGAAAGGACTAAATTTGCAGGCAATATGCAGCTCGAGCATGCTGAAACCTGCAATATCCGATTAGAATATCGCTAAATGAATCTTTCAACAGCTCAGCGGGGTTCGAAATTAAATCTTTTTTTGACTTTGCACAGTGCAGAATTTAAATATTTTTTCCTCACAATTAAATTTCCGCTTTTTCCCATTTCCCTGCAATTCTACCCGGCCTTTAGCTACCTTAAAAAATATCTTTTAGCGAACACTTACGTATTTTACATTCTCCTAATTTCAGAGCCAACCTCCATTTACCCTCGAATATCACTCATCATGTTCAAGACTTCTTTATTATCAATTTTACTCCTCCTTCTTGCCACTTTGATATCCGCTGGACCGAATCCAAATCCGCAGTTGGTTGCGGGCTTCGCCGATTCCTCAATTTCCGGGACATGGGTGTCGCCTTGGGGCGCTGGTTCGGGCTTGGGCAGCTCGTGGACCAATCCTTACGGGAGTTTCGCCAGTTCCGGCAGTTACATGGGCCGCTACAGCAATGCTCAAGGAATTTTGTAGAGTGTTTTCAACTCTACGCTCATTTGTCATCAAATTCCAACTGGCTAACATGTATATCTGCTACTGATCAACTTCCAAACTGCTCCTGGATTATCTGCAAGGCGTTATTGTTCAATTACTTCTCTCCTGTTTCAATTGCTGCTTTGTAAGTAAGTGAAATTTGCCTTTACAGCGAACGTCAACAAAAGTTTCTAAATTTGTAGGCGTAAGGAGCACTCAGGCAGCATATAAATAATGTGTTCGGGAAGTAACTGCGGTTACTCCGATTGTTTTGAACGTTAAGTTTGGTTGTTTCTTTCTTTTGCGGACACTTTACAGTAGGGTTTATTAGGAGTTTGGATTTTGATGAAACTTGGGGCAAATTTAGAGTAGTTTTTTTTTTGAGGCATATGTGAGATTTCTAGGTCGCGCTTTGCAAAAACGATAGAGATTTTTAAGTCCAAAGTTGGCGATAAATGTGAAACTTTTTTTCTATTTTTGAGATAAAAGTTTTATACCTATTTTTACCATAGAGAGTAATGTTTCTACAAAAAATCATCTTTTTCCGCCCAAACCTGGCAAAAATATGGCCAAAAATAGTTTTTCTCTGTTACCGCTCTTCGCACTTTGTGTACTCTTTCGGTGGAAACAACCTTCCATATCTCGGCACCCCCTGCAAAGCGTGAGCTAAAACTTTTAGGAATTGATATATGGCCCACGCCCAAATTGTTCGCAAAATTTGAAGGCATATCTGAGCGTCGTACTTGAGGATATTTTCCTTGCAAATTTGATTTTTTGGACTTTTTCCCTCATTTTTTTATTTTATTTTTTCAAAACAAAGACGTGAGGGAATGTTGCAGCGTTTTGCTCGCGGTATTATTAGTATTATATATTTTCATAAAGTGCATGGATATTTTTCCTCTTTCGAACGGTGCATTTTGAACTTTTTCCAGGCGTGTCGCCAACGCACAGTGTATTTACTCTATTCGTACAGTGTAAACCTCAAAAAAGCCGTTTGCACTGTGCCAATTTGTAGCCACTGCTGCTGCAACGAAGATGAAAGTTGTTTAGGTGGCAACGATATTTGCACTTTATGAAAATAGAAATATTTCTTTACTCTTGTGTCAAAAGAATATTTTTTCTAATTGTTTGAGGTGTCTAAAATCGTTTGCCACAGGCTATTTTTCTCGTATAGTAGTTTGTTATGGTGAGGCTCCATTTTGAATATCAAACCAAAAAAACTTTGTATAACAAAATCTGTCTATTGCGAGCAATTTTTCTGCCTACTATCATTTTTAGATGCCTCCGAAAACCCAACAAAAAATATACTCTTTAATTCATCCCCTACTTTTTCAGCATTCCCAACCTTCATCATGAAACTCCTTCTGACAGCACTCATCCTCTCTCTCCTCCTTCCATTGGCCATGTCCGTCCCGCAAATGGTATCCGGCATCTCCGACGGCTCGCTGTCGGGCTCTATTGTCTCGCCGTGGGGTGGAAATCTCGGTGGATCGTATACCAACCCCTATGGCAGCTTCTCCAACGCGTACAGCGGATACGGCCGATACAGTAATGCTGCTGGCTTCTTGTAGAACGTTAGGTGAGTTGATGTGAGGGGTGGTGGTCCGAGAACACTTGTTGTTTGTGAAAAGGCAGTGCTAATTTGATTATGCTTTGTGTTGGTAGATGCTTTTGTGAATGTGTTTCGAATTTAAATGCTGTAAGAGGATTATGCGAAGCAGTTGGGAGTTTTGTAGGATGATTGCTGACAAATTGGGAGGATGAGAAAGCATTTTCTTCGCTTTGAATTAACGGTAGTTATCAACAGATTGGCTAACGACCATTCAACGGCTCTCCGAGGAGTTTATCATTCTTCGGGAAAATAATGAGAGTTCTGTCGCAAAAATCGCATCCCGCCGAAACAAATTGATATGACGTTTTTTTTAAACAGTGCGTAGATTTTTCCTCGCGATGCGGTTCTCCACTGTCCATTTCACATTTTGCACTGTGTATATAATTGAAATATCGCCAAGCTTTTTTTCAACTGCTTCTCCGCGAATTTTGTGCGGGAAAAACAGCCTGTACACCGCGCCAAACCCGTTGTAAGACCTCTCTGGGAAGTAGAGCGGCCAGATCTTTAAAAATCCTATTTTTTAATGCACTAAAAATTACAGTGGACCCTCTGCACAAAAAATCTCAAGTGACTCAAAATTTCATGCGTTATAGTGTATGTCAAGCCTCTCCCCAATGACAATAACATTTGTTTCAGATGCCCCTTCTCCCTCCATAACCATAGACTCCTTGCCAGTGTCGACCTGTCGCCCTAGAAATGTAGCCATTCTTTCAAATGTGTATGTATGTTTTCCTTTAGGCCGTTCTCCCTCGTTTACTATTAGCTGTTATCCTTTGTGTATATCATAGTCTCTCTGCAAATGAATATTTTTTTGGCCTTTACATTTTGTTGTACAGAAACTTTTGGATTGTTCACTTGCTATTGTTTTCTGACCATAAAGTAATCATTTCATTGTTTCTTCTGAATCTTGTCTTGTTTATGTACTAGCAACCGCTGGCCTTGCCGCCACTGTTCATGGGATTCTCCAGCCTTTCCGGTCATTATTTCTCAATTTGAGTACGTTTCATTTATCCGAATCTTCATTCTATAGCTATTACAAAATTTCCTTTCCCCACTTTCTTCGCATGCCCCCAATCACATTGTCTTTGTTTGTCGCTGAGTTCCCTTCCATCGGGAAGGCCTCGGTTTCAGTTCAGTTCCCGCTAAGAAACAGTCATCGCTCATCGCCTTCGACTTGTTGTTCCGCGATGCGGCTGTAAAGTGCGGGCAATGTTATAATAAATGTACGCGCTCTCGCACGTTATCCCGTTGTAAAAATTCTTGCCGCCAACGTGCGGTCGTCAATAAACGGTGAAATCAAAGAGAACTGAGGTGTTTGTGAAGAGAAGCAGGGTTGACGGTTGGCAAGACCCGAGAAAAATTTGTTTACATCGCGCCTGAGTGCAACGATGGGGAAATGGTCGAAGAGAAGACGATTTGTGAACTGTTCGGAAGGCAGTAAAGAGATCAAAGTGAAAGGACAATATTTTATAAGACCTATAGAGCATAACGAATATGTTTTCAAAGCCAAATCAATTTGGAGGGGTATCTAATTAGATTTACGTGTAGTTTGTCGCTTTTGGGTCTTGTGTCAACGAAGGATGACGTGCATTCAAGGCAAACGTGAGTTAAGCTTTGAGAAAGGTGTAGTCTGAATCTCCATATTCGAAAATCGTAAGGAGGGATCAATTTTGCTGTCAAGACCATGGTTTTCGAGAAAACCGACCATAAAGGTTGACCGCAGAAACCATAAAGGTTGACCCCGCTAGCTCGTCCTCGCGCCCGGCAAAGTAAACTGTGCGGCGCGACAAAAAGACCACGTAAAGACAAATTTTGCAACCTCTTTTCAGACTTCCCATGAGGTCGCCAGACTCGCAATGAATTCTTAAAAATAGGTAGATGTTTTTTCTTTAATTTGGTTCATAGTTTGGAAGAATGCCGCGATCATACCTTGTAAACTATCAATTTTCCCGAGGTCCATAAAAAAAATAAATGCCAAAAACCCCTAGCATTTGTATCTGATGTGCGTCGGGTGAATGGACTGGCAATTCGCCATGAAAACACCAAAAAAACGTTTTGTCGCGGAAGAAATGGGGTATTTTTGGGGCGAGAGAGTACCTTTTGCGCGCCTTTTCTCTGTCTTCTCTGTGAAATCAAGACGAAGTGTAAAAAACCGATAGCGAAGGTCGCCAAACTCCTCATTTTGAAGAGCCGATTTTCAGACCGGCCGTGCGAGCGGAGTTTCGCCCCGGAATAATCAAAATCCTGAGTTTCGAAGCGAAAATTGGGCTTGTCAAAGAAAATAAAAATGCCCAGACACAATTTCCTTTTTGAGGTATTTATTTTTGTTTTTAGATAGCTTCCGAGATATTTATTCAACGATGCAATTGTTGCTTAGAGAGCATGCGAAAAACGGAGAGCGGTCAGAGAGAAAAGGCTTTTCTAGCCAAGCCTTTGCCAGTTTCGCATGGAAAACCTTGATTTTGTTATGGAAGCATTACACTCTGTGGTAAAATAAGTACGATACTTCTTATGCCAAAATTTGCAAAAAAGTGTCAAGTTTTTTTCAACTTTTGATAAAAAATCTGGGTTGTTTCTGCAAAGCGCTCGCATATGTCTTAATAAAAGGTTTCAAATTTGTGCCAAGTTTCATCAAAACCTGAGCGAAGGGTACCTCCCTGTTACTTACCCCTGTTTGACGTGCGCCGATCAGAACACATGAACACAATACGCGTTGCTTTCACGTGTTACAAATGTTAGACCCCATCAATTTTGACGTTCCTATGTTCTGTGTTCACACCACTAAACTATAAAATCTCTGTCTTCGCGTCATAAAAGGCGGAATCACAGCCCAATTTCAACATGTTTCCATAAACGGTACATAATTAGCGTGGAAAGAGGTTGCAATACAAGTATAAAAAGGACGATTTCAGAGCTGGAAATGAAATTTCGCGGCTTTTGAAGGTGTTACTACAGTAATGCTTTATTTTCGAGTGGTTCTTGCGTAACTGATTAAATTTTTGAAATAAATTGGCTAAAACTATTAGACTGGCTTTAGATTTTTTGAAAATTATGTTTCTGGCACTGCGTAGAGGCAGCTGGGATATTAAACGGTTTATGCCGGCGAAGGAGTAGGCGAGAAATGTACCTATTTCTACCGCAGAGGGTAATGATTTCACAAAAAAATTAATTTTTCCTCCACAAAACTGGCAAAGATATGGTCAAAAAGTGTTTTTCTCTTAGACCGCTCTCCGCCTTTCGCGTACTCTCTCGGCCGCAAAGGTCGTTTCATATCTCGGTGGCGTCTGCAAAGCAAGATATAAAGTCCTCGGGAAGATAACGTGGATTTGTTTGGCGTTGGAATCGCCCATCATCGCTTTGCGACGGCTAGCCGCGGCTGGAGAAAAAATGGGCTCGCCAACGAGGCGAGGCATTTTGCTGCGATGAATCCACATTATTCCCTAGACAGCTTGATATTACAACTTGCAAACTACAGTTTTTATTCTTCGTAGGGTTTTTACAGCACACTCAGTGCATCTAAACAAACATCATCACTTTTCCGACCGTTCTTTTGATTTTGTCACGTAATTAATTTCTAGTCCCACAACCTCAAACTCTGTTGTTCGACTGTTTCCCTCCGCCACAATAACCGTAGTTTCTCCAGAACGCAATATGATTAAGGAACGTCTGCAACCAAGTTCCTTGTGCGCGATTTAAGAGACGTGACGTGGTTCAGTGTTCATACCCTGCATAAAAAAGCCTATGAGGGCGTTCTTGTGTGGTATGATGACTTATGATGACTTTTAATCAGCTGATTGAACTTTGAAAAGGCGTGTTCTTATAAAGAAGCTACACCAGGTGCGACGCTTATATTTGATTGAAATTTGCACATACGTTGGATATACGTATCAAGCGGCAGAGAGAGTACGCGAAACGCGGTCAAAGTAAAAAACACTATTGGCCACATCGTCACCAGCTTTCTTGCGAAAAAAAATGTTACTATGCACAAAAGCGTTCTGAGGGACATACCGAGTTTTCAGCTCGAGTTTTGCAACAACTATTAAAAAATACTAGTCAAAGGTTTAAGGAATTTCTCTAAACCCCTTGTACTTTCCTCCATAAGTCCTAAAGCTCGATATAAAATCACCCTATTGAACCTGAAGCTCTTTGACCCATGTGAGGCGGAACGACCGAGCTTCGAGGATTTTCCCACGAGGAATGATCTAAATTTATTCAAATTTGATTGTACTTTCCTACGTGGGGCTTCCTTATAAAATGCCTCCTTTCCACGGAATAAATTACTTGACTCTTGAACTCTCGTCTTGTCTCGTTACTGGGATGTCGGGCCTTTCGGCAACCCATCCTGCCGTTGTCCACACTTTATGAAGCAAAGAACCCACGGGGTCACAGAACGGCCTCATATTCCGTCCGATGATCTCACCGTGCTTCTAAAATCACTGCCCGCTTCAGAGAACTCGGCGATTCTTTTAATCCCTGGGCGCTCTGACAGAGAACACTCAGTAATTGGCGTTTCATCATCGTTCGACCGCCCCAGTGTAATTGTTCCGCCGGTACTCTCCGCTTATATTTCCGTCGCCTCGAGCAAACATTATTGTTGGGTGTAAACGCGGCTCGGGGTCCGGTCGGCTGACTTTGTTGCCGGTGTTTTGGTTCGCGGTAGACCGTGTTTTGAGGCTTGGGAGATAATAATATGTTATGCCATGTTGGTTGTAATTATCATTGTTATTAGGGGGTGTTCATTGTGATAATGACTGATAAGGATTTGCTGTAAGTTATATTTGGAAGATAGAATTAGCTAAAAAATTCAACTGATAGAATTTTTTATCAGTTGAGGAGCATTGCTTATTTTTTTTAATAAGGGGATGGTTTCCTGGATACTGTAGCATATTGGGAACCGAATATCGATGCTTACGTAAAACTGGCCGCAAAAATATTCGGCTGACAATTATATACTGTAGCTGGTTTAATGAAGGTTTTTTTACGACAAGACACCCGTTGAAGGCAGTTGAAAGAACGGCATACTCATCTAGCGGGTTTTCTTACTAGTGCTAGTCCGTTCGTAAAGTGCTGGAGTGATTTTTGGACGCTTGCACAGTGCCAAAAAAATTAGAGCGCGAGCGATTGCCCTAGAAACCTATTGCATGGTGCATAAAGCAAGAAATTGCACAATACAAAGTCAACCTTTGTTTTCGCGCAGTGCATGGGGCAAAAATCACTCTAGTACCATTGGGAACGGACTAGTAGCATTGTGCCTTTTCCGAACTTTTTATATGAGACTCACTGCTTGTTTGGGGCCTTGCTCGTATTTTCTAGCCCTTGTGTCATTGGTCTGTCGGGAAAATAGTGCCGCTGCAATATCATCTTGACTTTGCTGCGACACAATTCATTTTCTCGGCGGCAATGCGATTTTCGGTGCGACATTGCGCTCATTATATACTTGATACCCGATAGACCAATGTCGCGTCGTTTTACAACCCGTTCTTTCGTGAATTTTTCCTTCACCACCTGTGTATCCCGAAATCCTCAAGCCTTATTGCTTCTTTTTTCAGAACCCAATATTCATCCAAACCAAACAAATATGAAGCTGATATCCTCGATACTTCTTCTACTCCTTGTGATCATACAATTCTCCCAAACCGAAGCCCGTCCACAAATTATTGGCGGATTTGCGGATGCCGCGACCTCCGGAACAATAGTGTCGCCGTGGGGAGGCGGCCTCGGAGGCGGATGGAGCAATCCCTATGGAAGTTACACCAATTCCTACAACAGCGGCTATCGGTACAGTAATGCGGCTGGGTTCTTGTAAAGCAGCCATATCTTTTTTGTTTTTTCCTTTGCTTTTGATATATCTCAAAATTATTAAGTATAATATAAGATAGAAGATTGCGGTGTTCCGTATTTTACCCTTCTTTTTTCTTAAATTTGTATTTCTCATCATTTTAGACTAAAATAAGGCTTTGTCAAGATTTCGTGTCGGGACCCAAGATTAAAATATTTTTTTTTGTTTTTGTGTCTCACCGCGAAAACTGGCAAAATTAAGCATATTCTGTGATCAGAGAGGTCAAATCTAGCCAACAAAATTTTTGAAAATTTCTCTCGTTTTCGTTGCAGGACCCAAAATCATTTTTCTTTTTTTTTTTTAATTTTGGGCCCACCACGAAGCCACTCATCTCCTATGTATAGCCGATTCTACTGTAGCACCACAAGACCTTCCCCTCTGTAAAAAGGAAGGACTTGTTATATCCATTGATCTTTGTTTTCTGTCTGTCGGGAAAGTAATGAGCACAATTTCGCTGCATCGCCGAAATTATAAACAATTTAATTTTGTCGCGACACAATTCATTTTCTCTTCGGCGATGTGATTTTCGATGCGACAGAGTGCTCATTATTTTCCCGACAGACTGATAGTAACGCTGTTTTTTCTCTCTTCTTAACCCAATTTCCCCCCGAAATGATTTCATCCATGTTTAAGTTGTACGTTTCCAAACCTGCGTCTAATTCACGAGTAAAACTTTTGTAGTCTTAGATGATTAACCAAATTTGATCGTGTTAAAAATTAACCGCCCTAAATACACTGAGTTGATCAGAAATAAACGAAATGACGTTATATTAAGTCGGGTCTTTTGGAGGCAATGGCTTCGGACGACGAAATTGAGGAAGCTGGAGTTTGAAGTGCTAGTAAGTAAAGAGTCAGGAAAGCAGTCTGGAAAACACCTTTTTGGTCAAAAAAAACTTTGGCTGAAACAGAATGCCAAGGATCTTTCTCACCAGGAACTTGCTCCAAGCGTCACACTCAGACTTTGATAAAACTTGGTACAAATTCAGAATAATTTTTTTTCATATGTCGGATTGGGATGCCTTCAAAAATGTTTTGTAACAAACTTTACTTGGTATCACAAACTTAAATTATTTTTTTTCAGGACATACCCAAGTTTTGTAGCTTCAGAAAGGATTCAAAACGTTCACTCAAAACTGCGTTTTCAAACTTGAGAAAGCCGCATAGAGCAAGGTAAAAGTTTCTTTTCTCACAGTCCATGTCACCTAAGTCACCTCGCCGACTTCTTGAGGTGATTTAGGGGACTACTTACGGTTCAAATTTCTTTATTATTCTGCCCAAGAAAGGGTTGACTTCGCTGCTGGACCCACCAAAGATTTTTTCAATAGCAACTGCCAAAAACTTACGACCCAACACGAAGGTAATCCTTATATGAGCATAATAATAAAGAATCTATTAGTTTAATTCTTTTACCGTAACTATAAATTCTCCATTTTCTCCGACCATAACTCTGCCGAGAGATTGGAACGGTTCGTTTCGCACGTTTCGACGAACCGACCATTAATTATCAGCTGATTCCCGTTTATTCGGATGGCGAAAATGCGTTAAACCATAAAGAAAAACAATGTGAAAGTGAGAAGTATAAGAAGAAGAAAGGTAGTTTGGGTATTAAAAAAAGAGGCGTTTGGACTCTTCAAAGGTTTTTTTTTTGATTTTTTTGATTAATTGAGGAACTATGGAAAAAAATGATGACAATTAAAGAGTGTGAGGTACCCTAAAGTGTGACGGATCGATCGTGAAGAAACTCAGTACAAACTTGAAGCAGAATTTTATGAAGCACATAGAAAAGTTTGGCTCGAAAAATGTCCGTATCACGACCTTTTTTGGCGACCTTCAAGAGGAAAAGCTATTGAAGAGTAGTCATTCCTGACTCTCAAAAAAATCGCATTTTTCGGGGCAAAAATCGCAAGGATACGGCCAAGAAATGCTTCGTCACTGACCGTCCCTCATCTTCCGTGGTTTTTCGAAAACACTAATCAATTTCCTAGCTGAAAGCTTAAGAAAAACAAATTTATGGAGACCGCTCGTGTGCAGTCTGGTTTAGAGTAAGACGAAATCCACTTTTCAGAAATGCGAACTTTCTAGGTTTTTTTTCGAGCTGCGCCTGACCATTTTCAGACCACTTTCATATGGGAAATTGGCGCCAGGATGTACTTGACTGTCTCTGTAACGAGCGTGCTAAAATCGCAGGGACTTACATATGGCTTAGGGAGAGTATACCCAAAGCTAAAAGTCCTGATAATTTGCGCTGCGCGGTTTTGACGCGTCGCTACGAAGACCGCAAAGAAAGAGCGCCTTGTCCCAAAATATTCTTCAAACTGTGCAAATTACCTTCCTGTCCCAAATATATGCGCTAAGTTGTTGGAAAATCGAACTGTCACACTTGGGGGTACACCACCTAGATAGTAATTTACAGGACTAAACAAAGCCAAGTCAATAAAAAAATTAGATGACAAAGTAAATTTCCCGGCGATTTCTCCATTTACAAGAAGCCAGCGGCATTACTGTACCGGCCATAGGTGCTGTACGAGTTGGCGAAACTTCCGTACGGGCTGCTGTAACTTCCAGGCATGTTCCCTCCCCACGGCGACAGAATCGACCCCGACAACGAGCCGTCGTTGTAGGAGAGTTGGGGATCGGGTTTCGGTTTTGGTGCCGCCGAAACGGAGCAGAGGATTGCCACAAAAACCACACAAAGTACCTTCAGCGACCACATCTAAAAAGACGAGGAGAAGTAAACATTTGGAGAGGGGGATACGGTAACGCCTCGAGACGAATCCGGGTAAACTGGATGGCGAAACGATGAGAATTGGAGCCAAAAAATGGGGTGTTGAACTTGAAGGAATAAAGTCGAAACATGAATAAAGAACAGAAAAAATCATTTATTATTGGTATGCAAGTCTGTCGGGAAAATAATGAAAACAGTGTCACTGCACCAATCGCATCGCTGAAGCGAAAATAAATTTCATTTTGCCGCGCCACAATTCATTTTCTCTTGCGATGCGATTTTCGATATAAAAGGGTGCTCATTATTTTCCCGACTGACTGATTTTACGTCCATTTTTTTGTAAGACGTGTACGACCATGTGTTTCATAGGTTGGGTGGATCATCCAAGAGCAGTACGAAAGAAATTACAGGTGGAATTTTAGTGGACATGGGCTTGAGACATGTGGTTTTGGCTAGCCAAAAAAGCAAAAAAAAATTAATTTCAAAAAAGAATTTTTGGCTTTTCTGGGAGCATCGTGAAGCGCTTTATAGGTCCTAGGGAAAAACGTAGCAAAACTTATTCCGAGTTTCAGCAAACTCTGAACGTTTTGCAATTGGAATGCCTTCCTGTAAAATAAAAAACAACACTCCAAAGTCTTCCCTAACACTTTCTATAGCATTTTCTAATCAAGCAATTCCTCTTCTGGAGCATTGAAAACGACTATTTCCAAATAAACAACCCCGACAAACATTTAAAAAGTAAAATAAAAACTGTAAAGGTCACAAAGAGAATACCACAAATATGACATTTATCAAACGGCAATGACAGTTTTGGGTAATGCCCTTTGAATAGACAAAACAAATCGATCTTCAAGGGCTTGAAAATCACGGTTAAGTAATTGGCGGCAATCCAATTATAGGGGAGAAATAAATATTTTATATCAGTCTGTCGGGAAAATATTGTGGATTTGTCATGGCTTGAAATCGCTCGTTTTCGCTTTGCGACGCTAGCCGCGGCTGGAGAGATGGTGTGCGACTGTTACAAGGCAAGAAAATTTGTCGCGACAGCTCCACATTATTTTCCCGACAGACTGATACGCAAAAAATTTCAATTTTTATATTTTTCCAAAATTACACTGACTTTTACACCACTTTTCGTCATTTTTCTTGATTTTCCGCTGCCTCCAAATATCTACAAATCCGTTACAAATACTTTATCTACAAATTTTTTATCCTAAAATATCCGAAAACCCTAAAAACCTCAAAAAATTCCAAAAAAATCCCAATTTTCATCCAGAAAACCGCAAAATAAGACCAACCGTAAATTAACCGCCGTAAAACATGCGGCCCCCATCGCCTTTTCCATTTTGTAAAAAGGGCCCTTAACTTGAAACGCGGGAATTTTAACGATAAACACCATTACACCGCGAAATTTCCCGCATTTTACAGCCGGCCCGCCACGATTTCCAATCGAAAGACACTTCTTTTTCGACTTTACAAGAGCAAATTTGATTAGTATGTTGAGAGTGTGCAGCCGGTTGTACACATGTAGTTTCGGCAGTCCGAATCGAAAATTAGCAACGGCTGACGCGGAAATTTTCAGCCAATCTTATTGGTCTGTCGGGGAAATATTGAGCGTTCTGTCGCATCAAAAATGGCATCGTCGCCGAGAAAATGAATTGCGTCGCAACAAAATCAAATTGGTTTTCACTTCAACGACACGATCGGCACAGCGACATTGTGTTCATAACTTTCTCGACAGGTTTAGTCCGTTCGGAAAGTTTCTCGAGCGATTTCAACTTGGTTATTTATATCGCAGAGGGTCGTGTTTCCAGAAGAATTTTTTTCGGCACAAAATCGGCAAAAAGATAGCCAAAAAGTGATTTTCCGTTGACCGCTCTCCGCGTTTAGTGCACTCCCTCTGGGACATAAACTATCGGCGGCAAAGATGGCTTATGTCCCAGTAACCAGACAAGACGAGATCTCAAGAGTCAAGTGATTTATTCAGTGGAAAGGGGACCTTTTATAGGGAAGCCCCACGTAGGAAAGTACAAACAAATTTGAATAAATGCAGATCGTTCCTCGTGGGAAAATCCTCGAAGCTCGGTCGTTCCGCCTCACAGTTCAATATCTCGGCTTTCCACTGAAAAACTTAAACTTTCATAGATTGACATGCGCCCAAGTGTGTGCGAAATTTAACGAAAATCTAAGCCTTGCGCTTTGAGCACTTCTCTTGATTGCTGAAAACGAGACATAGCTTTTGGATATTGTTTTTGGTATACTTTGCTCTTAGATACTACTTTAGCTATCTTTGTCGTCTAAAAGTCTCTATGACAACTTTTACGACCCAAACAACGTACTATCGTAATTACTTCCGCATTAACAGTATTTTTGCAAAGTTATTGAGTCTCAGACATGTTTACAATGTCTCGAAAATAATCTCTACGCGGAAAATTGAATTAAAGAAGCTCTTTTTCAGTTATCAGGGTGTCCCATAAGTCGTGTGTATTTTGGGGTCGTCGACTTGTGCGAATTCCTGTGAGCTTTGTAACGCATTTTTTGTTTTTCGAAAAACAAAAAATTTTATCGATTTTTAGCTAAAAGCTTTAGTCCACGCTTTCCGGGGCAGCCGAGATATTGAACGATCGTTGAGGCCGAGAGAGTACGCGAAAGATGGAGAGCGGTGAGAGAAAAAACGCTTTTTTGGGGGATATCTTTTCCAGTTTAGTACTCCAGCCAACCGGTTTTCTATATGAAATGTATATGGTAAGTATAAGCGGAACACCAGCTTCAGATTTACGTATGCTGTCAGATTCCACGGAACCAGGAGTTATCCACGATGTGTCAACCGATGGAATTTATGGAGAGAGAGAGAGATGTCCCTCGTGTCAACTGTTTCCCAGCTGTTTTTCCCCGAAGTTCGAGAATGTTCGATGGAGAGATCCCGAAGCGGAGAGCCTGAATTACGGCACCGTAACCTTCTCTGAGTTTTATCCCATCTTGATTTGATTAGTAGTGTTGCGTGGCCGTGTAGTTGTGAGGGGTTGCGTTGTTGTAGCGTGTGTTTTGTTATTGTATTGCTATTTTAATTTATTGTATTTGTTACTCTTTTGATAAATTGATCTATTCGAGTTGAGTATCATTTATTCTCGTGTTGATTAAAAAGGTGAACGAAATCATTCGATTACCCGATTTCCACATCCGCAACCTTCCACTTGGAAGGCCAAGTATTTCCAGGTAGAAGTTGTTGGAGGTAATCGACTGCAGAGACAACCGCAAGACCACGGGCCATCTCGTTATTTTATTTTCTGTCTGAAGGTGGAATCGGAGATATGCAATAACTCCATTCTACCTTTCCTTTTTTAGAAAACGAAATCATTTTGGAAAAAGGTTATTTTGGAGCTGAAACAGAATGCCACGAATTTTTCATTGCCTGAGCGCCTTTTCTCTATTTTTCTTTACCGTCATTTTCCTATAATTCAATTCTTTGTGTCGCTGTTGCACCTTCCGCTCTCTTTGCTCAGCGCTTTGTATTCCGCCTCATCCGCTTAATTTTCTTTGTCTCTTTTCAAATGCCATTGGACCCAAAGACCAACCAGGGAATCCTCTAGGTTCCAGAAACCTTTTCTGAGCCGAAAACACAAAAATACCATTGCTTGCGTGCCGTTGATGTTGTCGTATCCCGGATTAGCGTACCCAAGATTAGACGCGGGGATGTGAAGGGATTTGAGCTAAAATTGTGCGGTTCGATGGCACTAAGCTGACTTTACCTGACACCGAATGCCGCGAGGACGGAATTATTTGGCCCGAGGGTGCCCAAACACATAGTAACCACGTGCAAAGCTAACAAAAGCCTGGAAAATTTTTGTGAAGATTCACGATAAAAAAAGGCCAGAATATAAACAACAATGAAAGTCTTTGAAGCGCAACGCTCATATTTTCTTTCAGGCAGCATGTTAATTTCGGAAAAATTTCAACTCGTGCTTTGCAGGCCCAGTCGAGAAACCGAACGTTCTTTTTCGCCCAGAGAGTATGTGAAACGACGGTGGTCAGAGAGAAAAGCACTTTCTGGCCATATCTTTGTCAGTTCTGCTTGAAAAAAGTTATGTTTTGTGAAAGCATGGCCTCTACGGTAGAAAAAGGTATGAAGCTTTTCAAGCAAAAAACCGCAAAAAAGTGTCCACATTTTGCCGGCCTCCGATCTAAAAATCTCGGTCGTTTCTGCAAAACGTGAGTTAGAAATTAGAATAAATAATAAGAAATCGGGCCGGGCCTGAAAACGGGCCGGTCCAGGCTTACTGTTCAAAAAAAATTATGGATGCTATTTTATTGGTTGGCGCTTATTTCATTGCGAGGAAAATAAAAATTTCGCGACAGCGGCGAATTTTTTTTCCGAGCTTTAACTGCATCATTCTGTCGGGAAAATAATGCGGATCCGTCCCACTTTGGAATCGCCCGTCATCGCCAATTCACGGTATTTTCTTGGCAGACGGTCAGAACACTAGTGTTATCCCATTCGTTGTAGAGAGGTCTTACTGTAATACAAATTTGTCCAAGCTGTCCCCAAAGCTCGGCCATTACATTTCGCCCAACGGATCTGTGATCTGAGCCCTGCGGTTCGACTAATCTCCAGCTCATTATGGCCTCCGTTTTTCAGAGATCTACAGCTTTGCTTGTCTTTTAAAAGATGTTTGCGTCCATTAAACTCTCCAAACATCAATCAAATTAACATTTTCTAAAGCCCTAATCCCCGTCTTGTCGAATCAATGACACAATCGTCGCATAAACAATTTTTTCAACGAAAGAATTGAGTTTACGGCCGTTAAGCGTGTTTATTGCGGCGATTACGGTGTGGGATACGGTGATTTCCGATGTCTTCAGAATGGAATAATAGGATTAGAGGCTGTAGGCAATGTTTTCACCATCTTTTTGTTGTGCAAATAGTCTTTCGAATAGGGTTGAAGACTCGCGGCAAGAATTAGAATTAGCGCGCTTTCATGTGGGCCTTC